GGTAGCTGCTGAAATACTTGCTGACGGACTGAACACATGCTGTCCACCAACTCCTAAAAAGGACACTATTCGGATGTCTATGTTGTACAAGTTCGCCGCTGCATACAGCCTTATCTGGTCCCCATAGGTCCCATCTCGCGCCATATGAGTTAAATAGTCGTCCCAGGGGGACGACTATTTAACTCATAAGCTTAACAATAAGCAAGCGAACTCATCATCTGCCAAAATGCTCCAAAAGAGGGAGGCCATCGCTATCACACGGATTACCTTCTAAGTACGCTACAATTTCCTTCCTCATTGTTTCAGGGGATCTTAAAATGCCGAGTGTCTTTGCCTGGTGAGATAGTATCGTAGATTGGCAGTTGCCATCTCCAGGAGGGTTGTGAACCAGTTTGAAACCCTAGTCTTCAATAGCCTTCGCATAATCGTCTTTTCTCACAGGTATGTAATACTTTTTTTGGTGATCAGCTTTTTTGTTTTTGGACAGCTTAGCGCATTTTTGTTTCTTTTTACTCGCTCTAGTGTGAGGCTTGTGATATCGTTCACAGAGACCCATTTCCTTTCTTCCTTTCCTGACTGCGGTGACGTGTATGAAACCTTATAAATATGCAACTTGATCTTTCGTTTGTCGATACGACCCTCCGTCACATGCCGTTTATTCGATGGTTTCCCTCTCGAACGTATAAACACTTTTTCTCCGATACTGTAAACGGAGGACGGATGCGAGCGAAGTTGTGACCGCTGCATCCGCTTGTCACATCTGCTCGTGGCTTTCTAGGCTTGCTTTCGTAATTTCAAAGCTTGCCGAGAACGCCGGTTACGGTCTTTCTTAGTTGGGTGAACCCTTCCAGCACTAGGAAGGAATTCGTCTTGCAACCTGCTCTCTCTGAAGGCGTTGCACTTTCGTGCAAAATATATTTCGAATGGTGTTTTGTAAGCTATCACTTCTTTGGGGTCGTTGTTTAGAATTCTCTGATAAAGAGGGAGCTGTTTCGCCCAGTTTACACCATCTTGACTCATCTTTTGAAAGTCATATTCCATCTTGGATCTTAGTGTCCTGTGACAACGTTCCACCTTGCCTTGTGATTGAAGGTGACGCGGGCGACTGTAAATCAACTTTATATTCATGCGATCGCAAAGTGTTTTTAAGGCTTTCTTGAACTCCGCTCCCTGGTCGCACTGGATTATTTCTGGCGATCCATGCTCCATATAAACACATTCCAGTTCATTTGCAATTACCCGGCTTGATTTGCTTTCCGGAGGACGAAGCCAAAGAAAACGGCTGAAAACATCAATCACTGTTAGAACGTATCTATACAAATTTCCATTCATCTTCACGGATCCTTTTCTGCTCATATCCATCAAATCTATTTGGTGCCTAACATGAACGTCTCTGACTCTAATAGGTTTCAGCTTCGCCTTATGTAGAAAATTAGCTTTTCGACAATAATGACTTTTGTCCGTGTTTAGAATAGTTTGTATTTTAGCTCGACTTACTCCCAAAAAGTTGTCCTTCAGAGAGCAAGCTAGCTTACTCGCACCAGATCCTTTCGTCCTTTCAAATTCCTCAACCACCACTTTGTTCACCTCTGATGATTTTAGCATTCAACGCCCCTCGTAATATAGTACTTTCTAACCATGGATTTCTTTGACTAATATCCTTTCTCCAGCTCTCCAGTATCGCACAGCAGCTGCACGCATTGCTCTTGTCCGTTCTTTCACTGGTGGTTGTGCTTTGCCTTCAACAAGGTCGAGCAAGGCTTCATACACATCGTTTGTTAAAGCAGAGGGTTTTCTGTTCCCTTCCAAGTTTTCACGGTCTTTATGGGTCACAGACCTATCCCACAATAATTCTAGTAATGCTAAAACCATACCGGTTAAAACAATAAATCTCATGCCGGAATCAACGCAAGTATTGGCGTACTACATTCGATCTAGATCTCAGAGAAGACTGCCGGAAATCAAAGGCTCGTGAAATATTTTTTGCACTTATCACTATTTTTATCTCCACCAATCAAAACTTCGTTGCTATATGAACTCAGGAATTTTTTCACAGTCAGTTGAACCAGTCAGTACAAAGTTGCTGGGTAAATCTTTTGTGTTACTGCCTGCTATTTTAAAACTGGAAAGTTATGCTTTAATTCATTTTTCATCGTGCTGATACAGCTGAAGAAAAGTCCGTTTCAGAGTCAGGCCATGCTTTTTTCTCTAATGTTTGATCATTAAGGAGATTAGTACGTCGAGCAAACCACGTTTTCTTTTTTTTGAACTCTGTAAATCAGTTAGTAGACCCTTGAAAACGGCTCACGCAGTTAGTTTTTCTCACATCTCAGAGAAAGCAATTGCACAAATTGTTGCGTGAGTGTTTGGGGAACAGGTATGCATTCCGTTTACAGCCTTTAACATAAATAACCATTTTTAATGTGGTGGTCAGCAGCTTCTTTTCTTTTAAACCTGTCAAATGTAAGTCACCGGGGATCGATAATTTGATGCAGGCACAGGTAGTACCTTTTCCTTTGTCGGATTTGTTGCATCGATTTCAAGATCACGAAAACATAATTGTCCCCAATTATGTTCTCTTGGGGAGGAAAATTATATTGTCTGCAGTCATATAATCATGAAAATATTCGAGAATTTGAAAACAATAACTCTCTAGAGAGCTGTCACAAGGTTGGAATTGGGAAATAAAATGTGCATGCTAACAAGATCTGGTCAAGAAAGGAAAGAAAAAAACTGTATGTCCGAACCTGAAAATTGTCCTACTTTCAAGTCTGCAGACTTCCTTGTCTAAGTTTGTAATTTGCTTTACGACTTGTTGTTACTACACTGCGAG